TATATGAGTGTATGACAGCTTACGCCGCCTGAAATTTGGACCCCCAACCCAGTCATGTATCGGAAGAGCATTCTAACATCGCAAGCAGGCAACAAACACAGCTGACCAGTAACCAATTGCACAAAGCAATACATATCATATATATATATATAATATAATTATATATATATAAATATTATTATTATTATTATTATTAATATATATATATATATATTTGTTTAAGTTGTGTGAGCACGTGAAACTATTGTTTGTGAAGTGCAAAACTGGGATCTACAGGTAGTACAGGTAGCTAGATTTTGGAGAGAGAGAGAGAGATAGAGCCGAGGGAGTCACATAGAGTGATATAGAGTCAGATAGAGTCAGATGGAGATACTGTAGATAAATAGATGCTTGCATATGGAAAGATAGATAGATACGTGGAGGATAGATGCAAAGAGGGACAGACGGATAGACAAAAAGTGGAAAACCGGAAAATATGAGTCCACAAAGATGTCATGAGCACTCCAAGTCGAACATTTTGGGATAAGTTGATGAAGTTGTTTCGTTGCTCTGGTGATAAGTTGAACATATTTGGATTGTTGTGCAACAATGTAGGGGAACGGGTGTAACAATGCATCAAACCATTGTTTCATGTGTATTTATAAAAGTACATTTGCACAAACATATGTCTATTCAGTATTTATTCATACATATATGCATATATATAATATTTACATTTGTGTTGTCAACATTGTTTTTCCTGGAAGTTCCAGGGGCTGCCTCCATGGGATCGTAGTTTGAAAAGTACGATTGCGGGGCATTTGTCCGCTCTAAAACTGCTGGGAACCATATGTTGTTGGCCCTTGAAGCAACCCAAGTCCTAGAAGATGAGCACGATAGAGTCGTTTTTCAATGTCCAGTTGAAGTGTCATCAGTTGGTTCTGCCTTTTTTCCCCTTGCTCGTTTTTCCCATGGGCATGCTGTGGCATCTAAAACCAAACCATCCTTCAATCAGTGCCATGCGACTGTGCATGAGCAAATTGCCCTGGAGATGTGTCGTGAATTGGGGGATTTTACATGACATGGCATTTCCTCCGCAAATCAAATCAAAGCCTCGAATGTTGGATGCAGGAATCCCGATCCTACACACCAACCTTGAATTGGGCCCATCAGCTTCACACCATTCCCAAGAGTTTCTGTCAGATAATCATACTGAAGCTCTTTTCTGACCTCGCAAGAAGATACATACTGTACAGAGGATTGATGGGCTTCGTGTACACTTTTTCCTCCCCATGTGGCAACCCATGGCGCGGACTTGCGGAAGACCATGGCACGAATCTACTTTTCAAAACATGGTTCATGAACAATTTGCTCCTGTCGATAAGTCGCAACAGCTTTTCAAAAATTCTTGAGACTTTATTGGAACAAATTCGTTGATGTCATTCTTGCAAAAAGGTCGACAGTTTTGCTGGAAACATTGCTCATCTTTTAGCCCTCAGGTTCGTCAACGTAAGTTCTTCAACCGCCTTGTAAATTCCCCCCCCAAACAGTTCATTCCTTACAACCCTTTTGCTCATGAGGCCAATGTGGCCAATGTCTTGACCATGTGACAAAAGTATACGTAAGTTTTTTTTCGATTTGCATTGAGTTGCTAGTTTTTCCGGAAGTTCGTCAATGTTCCCCCGCCCCCCCAAAAAACGCGCATTTTTTTTGCATATGGCAAAGTTTGTCGATGGACCTCAAAGTCCACCGATCAACCCCAAATTCATCGATGTAAGCCCCAAAGGCAATTTTTGCAAAGTTCGTCAATGGGCCCCGAGATTCCGTCAAGGAACCCCCAAACTCATCAATGAGCCTCTAAATTCGCAAAAAGGGAAGTTCGTAAACGAAGCATGCAAGTTCGTAAACGAAACGCCCGGTTCGTAAATGAAACCTAAAGTTCGTAAACGAAACACGCAAGTTCGTAAATGAAACCGAAAGTTCGTAAACGAAACACGCAAGTTCGTAAATGAACTCTAAAGTTCGTAAACGAAACGCAAAGTTCGTAAATGTTCGTAAATGAGTTCGTAAATGTTCGTAAATATTGGTCAAAAACAGGGGAAAAGTTCGTAAACGGTTTACGAACTTTCTGTCCGTTTACGAACATTTACGAACTTGCGTGTTTCGTTTACGAACTTTAGGGTTCATTTACGAACTTGCGTGTTTCGTTTACGAACTTTGGGTTTTATTTCAAAGTTCGTAAACCGTTTACGAACTGTTCTTTTTCGTTTACGAACTGTGGTCTTTTAGGGCCATTGACGAGCTTCCGGGTTTTGATTGAGCAATTTTATGGCTGGTTGACGAACTTCAGGAAAAAACACGGAGTTTTTGTGAACCTTTTGAAACAGGAAAGTTGACAATTTACGTCAATTCAAGAGTTCGTCAATTTCGCAAAATACATCAAAATACTTTGTCAACAAGTCTGTGGGGGAATCGATGAACTTGAGGCAGAAAAATAAGAACTGAAAACATCAGAGACAAATCATCCAGATAATATTGTGACCATGCATTGACGAACCTTCGATGCTACAACCATTCCTTCCGGAGCATCTGTGCTGCAGATGTATTAATACAAAAACTTGAATTTACATTAACCTACTTCAAAGTAAAGGCTGAGAGATGCTCACAATTTTTCAATGGCAAACTTGATGGTCCACCAAACCATTCCATATTGGCAAGTTTATTCAGCAAACCTTGATGCATTTCAGGGGGCAATTAGGTCTATAGAGGCAACCCAAGGCACCTAACCAAGACCACACTGCACTCACTGTATGTTTTTAGTGCCGACACTGTCGTATAATGTGCTATACATTTGGCTCGTGCCTCTTTTGCCATTTTCACTCGCGTGCCTAAGCAACCAGTTTATAATCCACACAACTCATGGCATTGATGCACACATACGCACACTGAAACACAACATACCATCACGCAAAGGCGCACGACCACACACACACAAACACACAAACGCCCACCGTATACCCATCACCCACCTTGCTCAGGCAATGCTTAGACCCTCTATATATATGAAAAAGAACAATGAACCTTTGAGCGAGTTGTCATCATTGGCCAGCGATGTGTGTGTGTGTGTTTGTTTGCTTGCTTGCTTGTTTGTTTGTGTGTGTGTGCGTGCGCACAGCGTGGGAACAATTTTCGCCACCACACGAGGTTTCAGGCAACTAACGAGGTTGATCCCAATCGAATTACATTTCGCATATTCAGTTTTTGTGGCTAGGCCCCCAAAAAAATCAAACCTGAGCTGGTGTGAATTGGATCTTGTGCGTTCGGTTTATTAGTTTCTATAAGTGAACAACACTTCCAACCAGGATCTGAAATGAAAGGCTTGTCAACCGTCAAGAAGAGGGCGCGCTCTTCCAAGGTAATGAAAACATAATGTGTCCGGGCGGACGACTTTTTTGATAAGATTGTAGTAACTCTAGTTGCTCTCTAAAAGTGTCAATGTTGAAGCGGATGAACTATGATAAACTATGTTGCCACATTCACACATGTATCTGCCACAGCCCATTCCCCAAAAACAGGCTGGTCCCTTGTCCCCGCGAAGGAAGAGGGAAGGATTAACAGAATCATGAAGGGGTTTCCAAAGAACAAACAGTGCCGCAACAGCTTCACCACGCTTTGTGGTGCCTAGAGGAAAACAAGCTCACCCTCACGATAACCCCAAATCATTCACACAATGCTTGAATTTGTGGACCAATGCTTGCAATTGTTGGGGTGTTGCAGGTCGTGGAAACCCAACACATTTGCCTTATAGAACCAATATTTTGGATGCGTGTTTTTTTGTACCTTCCAAAAAAAAACATGAAGAATGGCATGATTTTGCCGTTTGTCACTTCCAACATGCTCACCCGTAAGCGACCCTTCCCCCGTGAGGGGTCGTTGTCATTAGTAGTTTCGATGATCCATCGTGGCGCTGCCATTTTAGCTTTTGTTCCAGGCTGGGTGACCAGGGAGCTCTGACCAGGTGGCAAAACTGGTCTGGGGCAATGCGCATGTCACATAGTGACCGATCCAAAGCAAACCTGAAGATTGCAGGTGAAACTGACAGACTCTAGGCAGAGGATGGCAAAAGATGCGAGTCTGGCGAGAGTAGTACGGTTAGTCATGTTGTCACTTTGAGATGTACCCATGCATTGAGTTTGGCAGGCTTGCGTGTGTATGTATCATCTTTAAGTGAGGCATGAATGCTTTCATTTTGGCTCAGGTTGGAGTTGAACCAAAATAGCATTCATTGCTTTTCTTTCCACACCCACCCAACCCTAAGAGCCAGCCTCCCGTGGAGAAGCCCGCCTAGGAGAGGGTGCCTGCTAGGCAGGCGAGCGCATAGCCTCTTTTTGGAATTTTCCTGGGAGACCAGGAAAGTAGTTACCTCTCCTTTTGGTTAGGAGATGGGTGATACCTGCAAAGGCAGGTTCCAGCCTGGGGTGACCAGGTGGCGAAACTGGTCTGGGGCTATGCGCATGTCACATAGTGACCGATCCAAAGCAAGCTTGGGGATAGCAGGTGAAACTGACAGACTCTAGGCAGAGGATGGCAAAAGATGCGAGTCTGGCGAGAGTAGTACGGTTAGCCATGTTGTCACTTTGAGATGTATATGAATAAATAAATAAATAGATAGATAAATAAACAAATAAATAAATAAACAAACAAATAAATATAGGATTAATATATATAAATGAACAAATAAATAATATATATTATATATGTATATATAAATATAAATGAATTGAAACTAAATAAATGAATAATATATATATAAATGAATAAATGAATAAATGAATAAATGAATAAATATATATATATGTATATATAAATGAATAAATAAAAGAATAATATATATATATAGATTACAGGGATGCACGATGAACGATTTGTGACATAAAAACGTCCATGACATGTTGATCGCCATGGGCAGGTGAAACCTTGGCGTGGCATCCGCCACTTAAGAACCCAACCGTCACCACGAGATGGCCACACGATGGTCCTGGATGTGCAGCAGAGGATGTGGGTCTTTGGGGGCTATGAGCCGGTTGGCCCCCCGTTCGGGGCCCAAGTCCTGGCATGGTCGTCCATTGTCGTCCTCGTTGAGAAGGGATTCGGAGAAGATTTTGTCAGATTCGTTGTGGTGTTTGCGGACAGTGGTTAGTGTGGCTGCAAACTCCAGGTGGCCGAATGAATGACCTGCATTACTTCGACATTCAGGCAAGGCCAAGGTCGAAAGGCTTGAACTCTCTTTGTTGTCGGTTGGTCTCGGGCCGCTTTTCCACGATTCAATCTAATCAATTTCATACTGTTGGCTGATTCCATTGATGTCACAATATACAGTTTGAAGTTTGAAGTATTGGAATGCCAATTTTTCAATTTTCGTCTTCCTGCCCTAAGCTGTGAGGCCAGAAAGTGGCACGAAGTCAATGTGCGCAATGCGCCCTCCGAGCGCTATGGTCACACCGCCGTCCTAGACACGCAGCAGCGAATGTGGATTTTTTGGGCCGGAAATTTTTGGAACAGTCGCTGCCCCAGAGCCCACGATTTAAGCAGTTTGAGATGAAATGAGTTCAGGCATGTGATGCCTCAGTGTCATGTCTCGATGTCATTGGTTTGGTGTTAACGTCGCGATGTTGAACCAGATTGACAACAGATTGGAACCGATTAAAAATATTAAAACCAATTGTTCACCATGATCAGTGACAAGTGACCGTAGTCTCACACCTGGGCCTGGGTTTGGTTCCAAGTTGTCCCAAACTGTCCCAAGGTGGTTGGCTGAATGACGTGCACTACTTCGACACAAAGGCGGGAAGTTAACGAAGTTGAGTACCTCTAGGCATCTCTGTCTCTGGGCTGTGGGTTTGGGTATGTTTGGGTTCAGCCCAGGTTGTCAAAGTGCCTCTTAGGGGAATACAACTTGAGGTTGAGGATTGATATTGGATGATGCAGAGTTGCAAGCAGAAACTCAGAGCTGCAGACAGAAACTGGAAATCAACTAAATCATGCGAAGACCTCGAATTTCATCCGGTTCCCATGGGATTGTCCCGAAGTCTGTGGAAGACCTTTTCAACGAAGCCCACTCTTCGGTACCTCGCCCAACTTCCCCAGGCCAGGCAGTGGCATGAAGTCACTGCCAAGAATGCAGCTGACGCACCCGTGGGGCGGGAGGGCGCCACTGCAGTTCTGTATGGCCTGGAAATGTGGATCTTTGCGGGCTACAATGGCAAGCAGCTGAGTTGTGGCTGAGTTGTGGCTGGGTTGTTTGGCATGTCACCATGTCGTTGTTACGTGTTGTTGCTTCGTGTTTTTCAGACGTGTTCCAAGTTACGGTTGCGTGTCGCAAGGCGGTTGGCTCAATGACTTGCACTACTTCGACATCCAGGCAACGCGGGGGGCAACGTCGTGAGGAAGACTTGGGGCGGGGCTGGGGAAGGCGGGGGGCCCATGGGGCAATTGGATTTGGCGTGTTTGAATTTCTTTGATTCTAAGGATGGTTGCAAATTTGAGACGTATGGATCTGAATGGCCGCTGTTGGCCAATTAGGCAATATATGTATGATTTGCTTGGCTGAGATGCGCCTCAAATTTGGCGCATGATTGGAAACGTATGGGCATGCAATGATTCAAGTTTGCGGCAGCTAATTCTGGCAGTGAATGACGGGAATGCATGCAAGACAAAAAAGGATGTAATCATGTGTTATCAAACCGTGGGCGCAGAATAAATTTTAATTGTTTTTAGTTCCCAGTTAAGTTCTCACACCTTCGCTGAACATCTCAGACCATTCCAACCTGGATGATTTTCAAATGGCTATCCAAAACCAAGTTGGTATTTGAGATCATTTCCAACTATTAGCCAAGGGTACCATGGTGGGCCTTTTCACACTGTTCCATGGCCTGTCGCCAGGCTGAGATGTGGCATGAAGTCATCGCAAGCAACGCCCCCTCGGAAAGATATTCTCACTCCGCAGTGCTGGACGCGGAGCAGCGGATGTGGATTTTCGGGGTCAAAGGGCGTGACGACTCGGACAGTAGCAGCCTCAAGTTGTCAAATTTCTGTTCATTTGAGCAGGTCATAGTTTTTGTGTGCATGTTTTTTTTTTGGTGTGTGTTTTACATTGTGACGAACAAGTGTAACGCAGATCGTTTTTTCATTGCTAGTTTTGATAGTTTTGTCAGCATTGTTAGCATGGTTTTCCGTGTTTTTTTGGTGGCTGGTGTAAACACGTTGTTTGCAATGTTGCCCCAGATGTCTAGGTCAATGGGTCAACGATTTGCACTACTTCAACCTGAAAGCCTTCAACAAGGCAGCTTGAATTGTGGCGGCTGCTTTCCGGGCTCTTGGGTTCTTGGGTCCTTAGGGATCCTCAGGGTATCTTAGGGTCAGATGAATGGCCCTTGCTTTGGATATCGGAAGGAGTTCTCTAGTTTCTCTCAAACTTGGACGGATGTATTGCGCTAAAAAGATGTGATTTTGAGTGCATGAATTTGCAAATATGAAATATGCTGTTTTTTTTTTAAATAAATGTCGATTCATAATGTTTCATTAGCTTGCTGGGCTTTCCACTCTCAACTGTGTGAGCGCGGTCGTTACGCTAGTCACATCACTTTGCCTTTGGTCTGGTTTCTCTGGGTTGGATTTGGTTCTCATCAATGGCTACTGGTCTTGGTGGAAGTCGGCACATGGGTTGCTGCCGTCCATGGCTCAACTCACCAAGAAGTGCATAGAGCTGAGGATCAGATTCCAGCAGGATAAAAGCTATGATGTTACCCGTGTTGCTGTCAACAACTTGATCATTTTGCCGAAGCCAAATGGCGTTGGATGAGCAGTGTCCACATCCATTCTGGTAGTCAGATATTGGTAAGCTGGTCGGGGCATGCTAGCAACTACCAGGTTATCAAAGCTATGTGTTCTCAACTGGTTGATCATGATAGTCCGGGCTTTGCTTTTCCCACATTTATAACCACTCTGTGATTAGTTGAGAAGAAACTTCATATCTTCCATTTTACGCCAATCATTTTGGTGCATGTTGGTTGCTTGTCACATGTGGTGTCCCAAGGCATTCTTTTCTCGTGCCATGAATCAGTCTGTGTACTGCTCAGCGATCAGGATGATCCTCTCCCTGGACGGAAGACGTCTGAAGCTTATTTTCAATGAGATTCGTAAGAGGGTTGAAAAAAGGCTTTCTGTGAAGCGGCGTTTCATTCGATGAGATTAGGCTTCGATTCCCCCCCTCACGCTTCGAGGTTACCTTGACGCGCATGTGATGTGCAAAGGCTGCGTGTTGCAGAGTGTTGTGCCGCACACGACACACTTTTTAGCAGAGATGACAACGTATGAAAACTGATTTAAAAGTTGATCAAGTTCTACTTTGAAATTGAGAATTTGCCAGGTTAGTTGCAATGCACTGCATCTTTTGGCCACAAGCATCCTGTCAGCACTTTTGGCCACAACAATGTCATGGAGATGATGACCAAATCATGATTGAACCAAAACGGCTGATCCCATTACCAAATCAACGTGAATCAGATGATGACCAAACCAAGAATCGTCGTCCAATCCGAAAGTCATGCTGGGTCAGAGATGGTCAAAGAGACAGTCATTTGGATCATTTGGTCATTTGAGGTCTTCGATGGCGTCAAGCTCAGAGAGTTGGGGAACCAGCCGTTGAGAATCCCAGGCCCAACGAGTCCGTTGAATTGTGCCGAGCACAAACCTATAAGCACAAACCTAAGCCGTTCTTGTGCCGAGGATGCTCCGTTCTCATTGGAGTGCAGGACAATGATGCCTCGAAAACAATGATGCCTGAGCGTGCTCCGTGCAGTCACGTTGGCAATGTTTGACTGCACGTTCGCATGGGGCAGCATGCAGCTTGTGCGTGTGGATCCGTGCTTTTTTTGTGCTCAAATAGAGAGAGATCTATGTTTTGTCGAATAAAGATTCCTTTCTTTTGCGAATCCTCAAAGATGGGGCAAAACGAGGAAGAGGTTGGCACATGGTTTGAGAAAGATGAAGTGGATCAAGTTGAGATCCGGACGACTCCCCAGACAGTCTATTTGGCGCGGCATGTGGTTGGCAGTTCACATAAAGAAAACAAAGAGGCGAACAGCCAAATTGAGATTTGGAGACAGGCCGTTCGTCGAGCGAATGATGTGACCCAGAAAGAGATGAAACCACAAGAGGTCGCTTTGCTCACCTGCGTTTGCACACTTTGTGGAAACATCGATGGGAGAATCGTCGGTGCCCATGTCTATTGCGACAAGAGGCTGGCTTGGGACAACGGCGAGTGGACTGCTCATGACCTCACATGTTCAAGCCCCGAGGGCGGCAAGGAGGACGACGAGGCGACCTAGCATCCAGTTGCTGAGTTGTCGTGTTATGTAACGATATTATGTTGTTACTTTATACTTGAAAGATATGCAGTAAACCTACAGTCTTTCATACATGTATATACCCCTCCAGCTCAAAGGTCCGCATGTCACTGACATTTGGCTCAAGATGGCAAAACAAGCAGGCCGTCTTTGCCCTTCAGTTGTATTTGCTTGTGTTGCTGTTTTCGTGTTTTCTTTTGGGGTTTGCAGCCATTTGACCGTTTTATTTGGTTATCAGCCGTAGTTTGCTCTTTGTTTACCCCCAAAATTTTCACATTTCACTCTTCGACGTTTGGTGGTATCGGATAAACCACCGCATGTCTGGGCCGTCCTCGTCCTCTCGAGCTGCTGACGATACCGCGGAAGGTGAGGCAGTCTCGTGAGGCAGCTCGGGAGTACGAGACAGCCTGGGGTCATCCGGGGACTCGCCGTGGGATTCGTTCAGGAAAGAGTGCAAAGCGTAGAAGAGACGCTTACATCAGACACGTCTCTGAGCAACAGTGCGTTGATCCGTTGGACGTTCCCATAATCCACCAAGGTGGCCAGCAGCGACCTCTTTACACGTCAAAGATTTGGTCTCCAAGTCCATCAGACGCTGAGGAGGATAACACTGTTGATCTTGTTGAGCAGGATCAGGTCACTTTAGAGGTGTCTTCGGAGGAGGAGACGGTGCAGCTCGCTCAGCAGGTGCAGCCTGTTTGGCTTGGTCCTCGACCTCGTGTGCCTAAGGCTCAGGGTCTGGCTCCGGCTTTTGAGCGAAGGGGTGTGGCTTCAGAATCTCGATCTTCTTCAAGGGTGATCTCTGCAGGGGAATCGGTTTCAGTACGGGCCACATCATCATCATCTGCATCAGTGAGACCCACATCATCTGCATCTCGAAGGCCGCCAGAGCCTGCGGGACCTCCGCCACAGCGATCTCAGCAGTGTCTTAAGACAGAGGATCTTCCAGGGGTTCGTGTGTGGAGGGTTGGTGGTGACTTCGTCCCTCACGAGATCTGGTTGGAAGAGGTGGCAGTGGTTCAGGGCAAGCTGATTGCTTTTGACTGGCATCAGGTCACTGACGTGTGCAGGTATTCTGGGCGTCGGCACGTTCAAGCTGCTGACAACGGACAGGTTCCGGCCGACGTTGCAACTTGTTACAACAAGGTGAATCGAAGGCTTCGTCTGGGCGATCTTCAGGTTATCATCAGTCACATCGAGAGAAGTGAGGACAATTTGCGTCGAGTCCTGAGAGGAGTTCAGCAGCCAAGGTTACCAGATTCTTACATCTTCATCACTGAACGACGGGCAGGGATTGGTGGCAAGACTGAAGTGGCACAAAATTTGGTGCACTCTCTGAATCTCCAGGGCTGGGCCTCTCTTTGTGACGACAACATTGAGGTAGCTGAGGAGTTCTGCCAGGCAGGAGGGACCGTCTTCCATACCAAGAAGCCCAGTCTGAGGGGTCAGTTGCCGCGGCATTGCACAACACGTCCAGATCTGTGCAAGACTGCGTGGAACGTGCTGCAGCATATCTCTGATCTCGAAAGTTTCATCTCGACCAGGCAGAGTGTTTCAGTTACGGGGATTGTGGTTTGGCTGCAATTGCGCCTCCCACCTTCTTTGCATTTGGATTCATTCCCTGGATATTTGCATCCGATTTTTTTTGGCATTGGTTTTGACAATCCGCTTTTGCATCACTGCGTCCGTTTAGTTTGATTTGACGTCCAAGTGGAGTTTCACAGCGGACTTGCTGCAGTAGTGGAATTTTTTGTTTGGTGAGCAGCCCAAGTGATCCGACCGTGTGTCACTGCTTTTTGTCACCGCGTCGTGCAAGCTGTTTCACTGCAAGCAGTTTCACTGCGGTAGTTTGTTTGCAAGAGGTTTCACTGCGTTGATCTGAATTCATTTTGCGGGTTTGTCACGTCATTTTACTTTTGATCCACCTCTGCTTTGCACCGTGGACTGGCATTTTGCCAAGAATTTGCATTCGAATTTTGCTTTTGTGTTTGAATCTTTCGCCCCTGTCTGATTGGCTGCACAAGCGCCTCAGCAGGTGTATCGACTCTTTGAGACTTGTGGTGTTAGGTTCAAATGTCAAGTTCAGATCCCACATCGAATCTCGAAAGTTTGAACATTAGTAGTGAGTCAATGGATGTCCCAGCTGTTGTTGGTGAAGCATCTCAAAGATCCAGCAGAAGCGCGTCGTCGACTCCCCGGCGTGCCCGTTCCAAAACAACCCAGGGTGGTGGGACAGGAAGAAAGCCAGTGTCCACAATCATGAACGCGTTGCCGAGAGCATCCCATAGTCGTGGTCCTTCTCCATCCCACCGGGGTCAGGGTTCAGTTGATGTTCCAAGTGAAGTTCATCACCATCAGGAATTGCATGTCCATGGTGACAGAACCCAAACGGTCACGATGGGCGTTGATCCTGTTGAGTATGGTAGAATGGTAGGTGAAGCCCAAAGACTTCTAGATGAGTCCAAGAGCCGTGCCGATCATTTTGAGGGTTTGTCGAAGGAAATTTACTCTCAAGCCTGTCAACAAGTTCAACAACTTATGACGATTGCTCAACAACTTCACCAGTCATGCATGGAGAAAGATGAGTCTTTGCAGAAGCTGTCTTTTGAAGTTCAGAGGGTGAAGGTTCAACTTCAAGATCAGATTTCGCTCAATCATGATGTGATGACGCAGTTTGAGTCAGCAAAGTCCCAAACCCAGAGACTGTTAGGCCACAAAGATTTTGAAATCTCCCGATTGATGTCCGAAGTGTCCGATTTGAGTTCTGACAAGACCCGGCTTGAGGAGAGATTGGCTGCTTTAAGCGCCGCTCCCTCATCCGGACAAGTTCCAATGCAGGCACCGAGGAATTCTGGTGAAGCCGAGTCGCATGGCCTTTCATTGTATGATGTTCAAGCTGCAGTGTCATCTCAACTTGCACCTGTTCTAGAAGCCTTTCAAGAGCTTTCAGGTCGCATGATGTCATAATATGAAAACAACATGAGCCGACATTATACGGAAACACACCAACCTTCACAGCCACCACAAGCTCGTTTGACTTTGCCTGTACCTCTGCAAGGATCCAGACATTCAGATCTTGTTGGAGGAGGAGCTGGTCCACCAGGCGCAGACGATCCAGGCTGGGGGGATGATGACGGTGATGAAGATGAGGAGGAGCTAATTGTTGACCCCACTCCAAAAACGGAGCGTGATATGGTTGATAGTCGTGCCCTCCAACATGCAAAACTAGATGTCATCCCCTCTACTGCCTCGGAGTTTCGGGCGCGGAAAAACTCGATCATTTTGGTGTTCGGGCGCCTGGATATCTCTGAACAGGATGTTCTTACCAAGTGGTTGGCGCAATCCTTCCAAATTGGCTGTGAAACGGTTGTTCAAGAATCCTTGGGACAATTTCCAAGACTGGACAGATGGCTGGCTGCCGAGCTAATCAAATGTTTGAAGCAACTGCCGGAGTTGCAGTTTGAGGTCCAGGGCTACATCGAGAGTTGCACACGTGAAGCCACTGCTCCGCGGGGCCGAGCGATCCTGCACATGATCTCTCGTCATTTCGATCTCGATCGCCACAGGGGAGCTCTGTTGACTTCCCAAAGTGTTTTCCAGATTGAATTGTCAGGTTACTCTGTCAAGGACCTTCAAGAGTTTTCAAGCCAGGTCATGAGAACACTCAATGCTATTCCATCTCAAGATTGGCCCAATAAGAGGATGTTAGGTGAGTTTTTGTTCCACAAACTTCGCACTCTTGAAAGGGTTATTGATGAAATCAAACGATCTCCGGAAAATCCCAGCATGAGGGACTTTGATTATCTTTGGGGACGTTTGCAAGAATTCTTGGTCGAAGAGCGTGAGGATGTTAACGCCAGGTCCATTGAACTTTCACTCAAGAGCCCAAAGAAGTCGTCCGCTCCGAAGGCTGGGACACCGGCCGTGCCTGCGAAAGCTGCTCCGGCGACACAGCCCGATGTTGCTGCTGCAGTTGGAGCTCCTGCTCCTCCGAAAGCTGCTGCGAAGAAAGCTGGGGCAAAGCCACCACCAAAAGGAAAATCGAAGGGAACAGGAAAATCTCTGACGCCGGCCGAAAAGGCCAAAACTCCATGCATTTTCCATCAGATGCCATCAGGTTGCATTCATGGTGCAAAGTGCCAATACTCACACTCGAAATCCCCACCCCCGAAAAAGTCGGAGCCCGATGCTAAATCTAAGCCCAAGGCTGCATCCGTGCCCAAGGTCCCAGCTGCTGTCGCTATCATTGCGGCACTGAGTTCAATTATTGCCCCATCGCAATCTTCAGGCACTCTTGAGTGGTGCGCAGACACTGGAGCAGGGCGTCATCTGACCTCCTATGAGGCGTTGAGTAGCCAAGGTTTTCAGTATGATGCAGTGTCGAGCTTCGCCAACGATTCCAGCGAGAACCTCAAGTTTTCAACCGGTGGAGGTGAGAAATCTTCTTCCCAGACAGTTGGTTTGAGAGACAGTTCAGGTCTCCTCAGTGATGCAAACCATTTCCTTCTTGAATCTTGCCCATTAGTGCGATCTATTGGACTCGATGTTGAAAAGGGTGGACTTGGATTTGTTTGGATGCCGAACTCACTTCCATATTTTGTCAGGGATCCATCGACGTGTAATATCACGTGTGATGAGTCAAACAAGTTTTATGCATCTAGAGTTTCCCAAAATGTTCCTTTCTTCAAGAACCAATTCACTGTGATTCCTGGAGTTCTGGCTGCTGTTGATCCCGGAGACATTGAAGTTGTGACACCACCTGATCTTGTTGAGGAGCCAGTTGGTTCAGCTGTTGAGCCCGACATAGATGTTGGTGATCGATCTTCAGTTGCAGCCGAAGTCAGAGAAGTAGCTCCAGATGTTCCTTTGCCAAAGTTGCCTGAATCAACTGTACAGGCGAGAGCTGAAGCTGTGTCGATAGAGCATCGCATTAGCCATTTTCCAAAGCATCCCCTGTTTGACATTTGCAACCGTGCCAAGCTCTTTTCAGAGAGAATCAGAAGTCACCGGGTTGAAGACCCAGAAGCTGACCTTCCTGATCCATCAAAATTTGGGGAGCAAGTTGCAATTGATCACATGATTGTGTCACGGTCATCTGGTGGACGTGAATTTGTGGTGTTGATTGTTTATGATACCTTCAGTGGAATCTTGAACGCCTATCCAGCATCATCCAAAAGTTCAGACTTTGTTTACACATGTCTTAAGCACTTTGTTGGCCTGCGATATCAAAACCCTGACACAGTTTGTAGATCCGATGCTGCACCAGAATTGGTGAAAGCCATTCGTGACTTGGGATGGTTGCCAGAGACGTCACTGCCGAGGCGTTGGCCTCACAACTCAAAGTGTGAGAGGGCCATAAGATCCTTTGAGGAATGTTGCCGCTGTTTACATCTCCAGGCAGGTTTCGCCATCATGCCCAGGCTGTGGACAACCACATGTCGATATGCTGCTGTTGCCATGAGCATTGACAAGTGGGAGACTGCATTCGGATCCAGCTTTCATGGTGCCAACTATGCCCTAGGTCAGTTGGTGTTTTTTTAATCGGACTAAATCCCAATACAAACCGAAATTGGAACCAAATGCTCAGCCTGCCTTGATGGCTGGTTGGAAGCTTGAGTTTGGGTTGCGGTGCAAAGGTGTGTTGATTGTCCTTGACTATGAGGCTTTGCGTGAGGGCAAGATTGTCAGTGTGCAAGCTCCGGACCGTGAGGTCTACACTCGTGACAGTGTTGTTTTTCCACTTGCCGAAGTTGCTGAAAGGGCTCTTGACCGCTTTTCTGATCCATCAATTGTTGATCTAGATCCCCAATCTCCACTTCCAATTCCGTTTGTTGAAGATTCACCTGAAATGAAAGAGAAGTCAAGACGAGTGTATATCACCTTTGGTAGGATTCAAAAGCTTGGGGCAACGCCCGGTTGTCGTGCTTGCCTAGCCTTCGCTCCAAATCACACTCCAGAATGCGTTGCTCGGCATGAAGAAGCCTTTGGTTCTAAGACTCCTGGTCCTGAACCCAATGCGCCAAGTGATGAGTTGGAGAGGTTGCTTGATGAGAAACTCCCGCCAGGTCTTGACTTTGAGTATGAGGCTTCACTTGCATCACATGATCCTCTTGACGAAGTTCCTGAATGTCCTCCGCCTTTGCCTGATGATGTGGTCGATGTTGACGAAGATCCCATTACCGGAGTCACGTCTGGTCTTGATGTCACTGCAAGCATTGCCTGCGATGCAGCAACCATCTTGCGTCAGGAACAAGTTCAGGAGATCTTTCAGGATGTGTTCAATCAGGGGGGTCAATTCAGCGTGCATGGTGCCACTGCCAGTCCTTCCGAAGTTGATTCGCAATCTAAGAAGCCCAAACCCAATAAGAATAGACATAATCTCCCTGGTAGCAATGTTCTTTTCGAATTTGCCTGCGACAAACATTCAAATCTTGGAACTGTTGGTTCCGAACATGGCATCAAAGTCTATCGTTTGTGCAAAGAGGACATCGACCTTGAGGACCCTGAGAGCATTGATCTGCTCATCCAACAGGTCAAGGCTTTGCCAGGATGTTCCATCCATTGCTCAATCGAGTGCAAGCCATGGTCCCAGTGGCAACGTCTTAATCAACGTAAGTATCCAAGATTGTCTGCGAGCTGCGAGCATTCGTCAGGAACGTGAACGAAGTGAAGAATTGTTGAAACAGTTCATTCGTGTT